ACTGATCAATCCCCTTGGTTTTTAGTGATCTCTCCTTAAATCATTTTTTATGTATTTATCTATTTGTGCTCCACCCACCCCCTAGTAGAACATAAGCTCCAAAAGGGCAAGAACTTTTCATTTTGTCATTTCCAATGGCCTAGCAGTGCCCTTATTAGGGCCCATTTATGGGACTAATGGGGCATTGCAGAATTAGACAAGTTAGTCAGTGCTAAAAGCAATAGGTCCATTTATTTGGTGTATTCAAGGGAAGGTCACATGGCTTAACTAAAGACACCTAATATAGCACCAAGGGAAAGATAAGGACAACAAGGGAAGTTTACTGGAGCAGACTATTAATCCCCAATCCTAGGGGCTGGAACTAACACATCCAGAAAACTGGGAAAGTGAAGAGAAGGGATACAGCCAATATTTGCCAGGGAACCTTGGGGATGCTTCTCCTTAGCCCACAGCAGGAGAAGGGGGTACAAAAATGGCATTATGAAGGCTACTCCCAGGATTGATGGTTATAAGCTTTCACTGGGATTTCTCAGTCCATGGTTCAGGCTAGTTCATGCAGCTCAGGGCTCAGAGAAGCTCCTAGATCAAAATCATTCAGGTATTTGATAAGGAAAGGAACCTTGGCCAAGAAGGTCTACATTGTTTCTAAGCCTGAAGTCATAGGGAAACAATGCAGGAAACTGGAAATTTCTAGAGTAAAAGAGTGCAGATATGTGAAAGTACAAATACAAAAGGCAGGACAAAAAGTAGGGGTGTGTGTGTGTGTGTGTGTGTGTGTGTGTGTGTGTATGAGGAAGGGATGTGGCACAGCTAGGGAAAACAGCCATTGGAAGAGAAAGATTAATCCAGGAAAAGATTTCTCAAGACAACAGTCTTACACATTGTTATTGTTCAGTCGTTCAAATTGTGTCCACCTCTTTGTGACCCTATGGACCTGTCCATGAGGTTTTCTTGGCAAAGATACTGGAGTGGTTTGCCATTTACCTCTCCAGTGCGTCCCCATCTTATAGATGAGGAACTGAGGCAAATAGGGGTTAAATGACTTGTCCAGGGTCACACAGCTAGCATCTGAGGCCAGATTTGAACTCTCAGATCTTGCACGTAGTAGATGCCTAACAAATGCTCATAGGATTGGATTGGATTAGTACCTGGCTCATGGTCTTCCTTTCCACTACTATCCTTAGGGACTTCACTGACAAACCCTTTGACATGGACTATCTCAGCCTCCTCAACTCTCAAGTGCTTTCACTTCACCCCATTTTTGCCACATGTCAATTATGTTCCCACAACAGACCTCACAATCCCTTGTAATTTACACCTCTGAGTGTTTCAGCGAACAGCGAAATTTCACTTTCCAATCACAATCCACCCACCTTGCACACTCACCCCTTTTTCACCCATATCATCACCTACATTTCTAATTCTCTTAGTCTAGCGTCCCTTTTTCCTATACATAGCCTTGATCACACGGTCTGCCATTTTAATGGCTCACTAGCTATTATCCTCATGATCTTCCATTTTCAATCTGCCAATTACCACCATTAGATGTCTTTCTTCCTGTTACAGGACTCCTAAGCACCAATGGAAAGAACTGTCAAATTCAGCTGATTTCACCCACTAAAGATTTATGCTGCATAACCTCAGTTGCTTGACAATACTGCTCTATTTTACTGACATTTTATCTCATTAGCCATAATGACTGTTTTCATTCCCATGTCTCTAACTACAAGTTTTCAATAGATGACCCAGTTTCTTACTTCACACACAAAATTGGAGCTGACTGAATTTCCTTGCTCATCCTCCTACTTTTCTTAAACCTTCACATCATCAACCCTCTCCCTGACAATCACAGAAGAGATATCCCCACTACTCATTAAGGCTAATCCTTCTAGCTATGTCCTTAATCCTATAACCCACCCATGGCCTTGCACCTGCAGACAAAGGTCATGGAACCCATGGGCATGGCACCCAACATGACACCTCTATTCCCTTCTGTCTGGGCTGGCTGATTCATTCCATCCTGTCCTCATGCCAGCAGACCTGGGTTTTTCGTTATTTTCCTCAGAATAGGGTATCTGGCCCTGATTTGGACCATGGCCTACCCTTTTACAGGACCCTAAGGGTAACCCTAATGGAGGGCAATACTATTTACCACTATTGCACCTGAACACCCACAAGTGTGCTTCCCATTTACACAAAATCAGTCACCAGACACCACTTACTTTTAAACATGAAATATTTACTTAACAAAAAGATAAGACTATTAGAAAGAAAAAGCAGGAATAACCACAACATTTAACTCAACAGAAGGCAAATGCAGGAATAATCACCCCTTCTGCTCAACGGGAGGCAGGAGCAGGATTAATCATGACATTTACTTAACAGAAAGCAAAGTAGGATTAAAATATAATAGTAGGTTCATAAACCCAAGACTCAGTCTTCCACCAACACACACAGTATTTATGGGAGAGAGTGTGCTCACATTTACAGAAATTAGCAAGGAAGTACACGAGTTTAGAAATCCATGTGTCCAGGGTGAATTACAATTTTGGACACTAGGTCTTGAGGTCTTTGGTCTCCTTGGAGAACAATGAGCAACATGCATCACATACTAAGCAAAAGTATACTTCTCCACTATTCTCAGGCTGCTAAGGCAATGACAAACTTTTAGCACGTAGTCACCTTGGGCAGGATGCTAACAAAGTGTTATGCACACTCAGTGATAAAATTTCCTTAAGCTGAAGACTGTTGAAGTTGACAGATCTGCTTTGGCTTTCAGAGGAATTACTTCTTCTCAAGTTATAGATAATAGGGCCATGCAGCTTCTGCCCAGCCAGCTCCTCAAATATCAAGGGAGTCTGCTCTTGTACAAATTGGCTCTCAGGAAAATCAAAGTGTTTCTCACAGCAAAGCAGATGCAAAGCCTGATTCCTTGCTTTTGTCCTCCTTCCTAGCCCAGTGTGGAAGAGGACAATCCCTTTTCCAGGCTAGAGATGGCACTACAGGGCCACAAACTCAGACAGCTCTCCATAAAGCAGCAGGAATAATCATCTCTCTTCCAAGCCCTAGGTGAAACAGTACCTCCCTTCTGAGTCAGCCCAGCTTCCAGAAGAACAGCCATGGACACTTCCCGTCCACTCGCCAGCTGAGAGGCTTCTTCACATCAGCAGTTTTCCTAGCTGCCTGCTTCCTGTGCTCAGCTCCTTCTTTATTTCCTGGCTTAGGAGTTTTTCATGCTTCAAATTATTGTCTCCTCATAAGCATGAACAATTTTCTCTGCTTTATGATGTGAAAATCAAAAGAGCCACTTTTCTGTCAGGTATGACCCAGAAGGTTCCCAGTTATTTGATTCACAATTTGTTATAACCACCAAAACATGAAAAAGCCACATGCAGATGAACTTATGGATTACAATGTCTTGCAGCCCCCATCACCTCAATCACTGTTCTGCCTTCTAACTGGTCTATACACCTGAGACAGTTCTCTTTCAGAGCCTCAGACGTCAGTCTCTGCAACATTTTATTTGAAAGATTACATTTCTTTAAGTTGACTTGTTTTCCTAACATTATTTTGCTGTCCCTTTAAGCAACCAAACTTCCCATATGAAAAGGATAGTCTCACTGTCTAAGCTACAGGACCATGCTGTAGCACCACCACAGCCACCCCTCACCCCTAGCTCTTTCCCACCTGCCCATAAACACTTCTAGAGCTCCTCTATCTAAAACTCTTCTCTCTTCCATCCCCCACCCTACCTTTCCACTCTTTTCTTGAGAAAGTTGTTTAGAACCGATTTAATTCCTCACTATTCACTTTCTCCATCCCTTTTAACCAAACTTTAGTTCATAATGTTTGAAACCTCTGGGTTCTCACTGATTCTTCCCTTTTTGGTACTCAAATCATCATGTTGGGTTCTGTTAATTCTACTTCCCCAACGTCTGTTGGATACACCCTCTCGTAAATTCTGCTAAAAGTTTTCAGTAGCTCCCTATTGCCATCCAAATAAAGTTCACACTCCTCTCCCTTGCAGCCAAGGTCCTCCACAATCTGAAGCCACTTTTCAGCCTTTTTTCTCATCTTACACTTTGGTCAAACAAGACAACTCCTTCCAGCGGCAGACACTGTTTTCACACCTACCTCCCCATAGAGAGGTAGGAAATCCCAAGCCATCTATAAAAGCTCTCTTCCTCCATTCCTTCTCTGATGTCTTCAGGGGGTAGTGACCCTTGTGAGTAATCTGACACTTAACTGAAACACAGTTTAATTTAATATTACTTATCTTTGTTGAGGTCTTAGCCCCCGACTAAATTCCAAGCATTTTTTTTTTTTAGGCAATTGGGGTTAAGTGACTGACCAGGGTCACACAGCCAGTGTGTGTTTCGTCTGAGGCCGAATTTGAACTCAGGTCCTCCTGATTTCAGGGCCAGTGCTCTCTCCACTGCGCCACCTAGCTGCCCCAATTCCAAGCTTCTTGAGGGCTGGGGGCAGTCTAAGGAGACTCATGTAAGGTCTCTTTCTCTCTCCCACAACATATAGCATAATGCTCTGCACACAGTAAATGCATGTTAAAGCTTTGCTTCTTTCAACTCCTCCTCAATTCCATGTCCTCTGTTTTATCAACTTCCCTGACTTTACAGCTCTTCTCACATTTATTGACACCCTGGAGATAGTCCAGGAAATTTCATGAACAGAGGCCTATCGCTCCATTCCCCTTAAGGAATCTTTTCTTTCTCATCTTTTCCATTTGTATGGCTTCGTGCCATCAGATCTCTTCCCCAAATTCAGTTGTTGACTGTCTCCATTATGGTGCTGGGGATGTTCAGTGCTTTCCCTGGTGGTGGGGTAGACAGGGATTGGGCTGGGTCACTGCTGAAATAGACAGTACAGAAGTTACTATAATCAAAGTTGACTCTCAGGTCTGTCAGGCTGGTCATGTAGGGCACATGTAGGGGGAGTGAATCATTCATGCAGACTTCCCATATTATTTCAGAAGACTACTTAAGTAAAAAGTATTTTCTATCTTTATTTCTTAGAGTATATTCCTGGACTGTGTATTTCTCTTTATTTTGATGTCATAGGGGTGGTATTTTTGTTGAGATCTTCCATCACCTTTTTCTGGAAGTCACCTACAAACAAACTTTTAAGTCTTTTAAGTTAACTTTTATGTTGAACTTTTCTCAATGTTTTCATTATTTCAACTCTATCTTTTTATGAAACACTGAGGCTACAGCTTACAATATATGAAAAATAAAGAAGGAACCATATAACTTAAGGTGACATAATTTAATAAATTAGACACTCTCAGGTAGAGATCCTGAGAGTTTAAGGAGAGCTGTAGCAGTTCGTTTAAACAAGAAATGCCCACTCTTGAAAACCAATCCTGGGGGAAGCAGCCAGGATACTGTTGTTTGCTTGTTTTTAAAATGTAATTTAATTCTCTCAGATTCCACTGCTTATATTTAATCACCGCATCAGGCAAATATAAACAAAAGACTGAAATTTTTCAAATATAAAAACCTTTCTGAACCGAGATATTCTATACTCCAAAAATTCTACTAACCCCTTGAAAATGGGAGTTCTATAAGAAAATAATAGTTTTATTATAGGTATTGAAAATTGCCATTTTACCCAAAATAATTTTAAAAACTAAGCCTAACTGCACTTTATTGGCAGTGTTTTAAGTCTGTAAAGCAACTTCTCATGAGCACTTGAGTAATCAGATGGCCATATGGAGTACAATGAAAATCCACTGACTTCAACACTTCTAAAAGATAAGCATCATAAGTAGATGAGCATCCTAATGTTAGAGACTCTAATTCAATTTCTAAGAAAGCTTTTCAGTTCTTATTAGGTTATTTCAGGAAATCTTAATAATGAAATTTTGGTATAATAGCTTTCAGCCTGTTATACAAATGTATGATAGTTAATAACATAATGATGCATCAGTCAGTCACAGTATTTCAAAAAAAGTGAATCCTACATAATCACTACATATTCATTTCCAAAGCTTCAACAATGTGTGCAGCGGAGGGACGATCTTTAGGATTTTCATTAGTGCAAACAGAAAACAGTTCAATCACTTTTTGATATGAATCATCCAATTCTTCCATGTTAATGGCTGGCCTCGTTCCCAATGCTTCATAGTATGCTTCATCGTCAAACAAGCTCTCGTCAAATGTTTCATCTGCTCAATAAGGTTAGAGATAAATAGTTGACATAAGTAATTATGGGTAATTAGAAAGTCAGTTTAAGGTCAAAGAATCAGAATTGTAAGGGATCTTAGTAGTTATATAGTTCAATTCTTCATTTTACAGATGGGGAAACTAACTCTCAGAACCAGAAAGTACTTTGCAAACTGTAAAGTGCTGTAAAACAGGTATTTACTATTACTAAATTAGGTTACTTGATTCTCAGTTCTTTCCATCAGACCATATGAAATGCTTGTTAAGAAGTCTGAGACAAACTCTAGTGGAAAGAATATCACCACTCATCTTAATTTAAAGATTATCCTAACTGTGCTATGCCAGCTCATACAAGGGATCACTTTTTCACATCCTATGAATAGGAAACATGAACAGATGTCAACAAGAGCCTTCAGTAAAAATGTTTTGAACTAGGAGTTTAAATCTGTTTTGGCAAAAGCCCTAAATTCTTGAATCATCAAGTCAGAGTATTTATCAAATAGGTGGCATAAGCCTACTGGAATAATGGATCTCTCTACACTTCAAATAGGATCCTTCTCTAGAAAAATCTTGATATATATCATCGAATTATCTGTATTTCCTTTTATTTATTATATCTGTGTGGTCTTATACTATACTTGCATTTGTTTCAGAAATACTGAAAAGATGCTTTAATAAGCTACTAAATCATATAATCAAATGTTTTTAAATATGTTAGCTAAGTGCAAATACATATTGAATATGAGTCAAGTTTGTATAAAGTATATGTATAATATTTGTGGCATTTTACAGACTACCCTTTAGTCTAAAGTAAGGAAACAAGATTAGAGTGTAAGACAGCAGCATACTTAACATACCTTCATCATCATCATCCTCTGGAAGATTAATGTGTGGAATGGTTAGGGTCAACATCTCCCAAAGAGTTAGCCCAAAAGCAAATATGTCAGCTTTATCAGTAATAATACCACCCTCTTCCAGAGCTTCCTTTGGTTTCCAGGGTTCTGTGCCAATGTAATGTGCCTCAGGATCACTCACTGAATGGAATAAGTATGTTGAGTGACTGGATATTAGGTGTGTTAATTATTCACAGTTTCAATGCAAAACATATCAATGTTACTTCACTTACCAGATAGTCTCCATTTTTTAAAGAAAATACTAACAGATATTCCCAGAAGCACTTAGGAAACATGGTAAGAATCAGCAATTCGGAAATGTTGCAGCAGAAGGCTAAATGTCATGGCATTTCATAAATACAAGATTCAATCTCGTTCCTACAATTTAACAAGCTCAAGCTACAACTATCAGTGTCTATACAGCAAAAAAAAATCTGAATCTCTAAATTAGTGAAGTAATGATGCAAAATCTAATAGCTTCTTAACAGCCAAATCGAAATCCTCTAGCCTTCTCATCCTGTGTGATATTTGTCTCCATTATCCCACCAGTCCTCCAGAGGATCAACCCACTTCACTGGAGACCTTTCTCTTGTGGTTATTTAGTAACATGAGGAACACCAATGTACTATCATCTAGCTTTCCCTTCTGCTGTCTCTAATTTTTGCTAAATCATCTACCTATCTTTTCTAGTCTTATATAGCTCTCAATAATATTTCAATATGCATCACTGAGATTTTACTATTAAACAACTGTGTGCTGCATAGTATACAACATCAATCAACCAACAAGCAATAATTATTAAGCTAGGCAAAGTAACAAGTATTGAGGAAATACCTATCTATGATCCTCAACTAGAGAGCAATGGGGTAGAATGGCAATGAATTGCCTGGGAACAATAGGATAGGTAGGGTACAAACTCCTTTCAGGTACCTCCTTTAAGGGCACTTCTCAAATATTAGTTTATGAGAGTGCTCACGGTGACGTTTTAGAAGTTACTGTTTACAACTTCTGTACTGCTTTTATTAAACTACTAATGGGTAGAAAATTTCTACCTTAAAGGTAGAAATGACTATACTATTTTATACTCTGAGAAATAACTTGAATGAAGGGCTTCCATTTCCCTATCCCTAAAATAAGGAGACTGGTCTAGATGGCCTCTGAAGTCCTTTCTAGCTCTAGACCCAGGTATACGCTGAACTCAACAAATGTTGATGGATTAATTCATACTATATCTAAAACTTTCTAGTCATCTCCTCCTCCAAGCTGCCTATCCTGTGGTCATCCTCCTCCTCTCTCTCCAATTGCAACCTTGCACTGTCCCGGCATCCCCCCAGCTCTAATAGGACAGCTTTTGTCTTATCTTGCTTGAGGACCAGGCCTCCATGTCATTTCCCAGCTAATTCCACCCCAGGTAGCCATATATGTATCACCCTCTTTTCAACTCCCCTTTCTGTATTATTTTGCTTGCATATATATCCCCAGCATTTAGCGCAGTGCCTGTACATAGTAAGTGCTTAATAAATGCTCTATTTGAAATATTGTAGCGACTAACAGATACAAACCTCTAAAACTAACATTGCAAGGTAATGCCATAAAATGAATTACTCTTCTTTGCTGATATGCACTAGAACTTTATTAGGGTGCTTCCATAACCTGTTTTTGCTTACAAATCAAAATTAGAATTATTTTGTAATTAGATATAATATTCAAATTCTTAGCTTACAAGAAAACTGCAAGTGTTTAGGCAGTAATTAGTAGATAAATCTAGGATAAGGTATTTTAAATACCCATAGGATGCCAAACACATACAAATTTATTGTCTTGTCTTCAAGGAATGTATATCCTAACAACACAACCCAGTTCAAACCCTAGAGAAGAGAATTACTTACCAGTCATATTTTCATCCAATGGCAGTGAGACTCCTACATCACAGATTTTAATTGCCTCAAAGTCACCTTTAATTACAACATTTGAAGACTTTATATCTCCATGGAGTAGATTCTTTTCCTGGTGAAGATACTGGAAGAAATTGTATAATTAGCACCCAGAAGCAGGATGACAAAAAAGAGAACTGATGAAAGAATGGCAACACCATAGGTGCGGATAATGAACTACAGAGTTTCTGATATTCTGAGATGCACTTGGTCAAACACAATAATGATGACAATAAAAATAAGAGCAACAAAAACAACAACGTGCTTTATAAACACGATAACCATTAAATCCTGCTTGTCTTAGTTCCCCTGTTCTAAAGACCCCTAAGCTATTTATAATTAGAGTCGTTATTTGGCATTGCTTAGTCATTTGGAGATCTATATTGAGAGATATCATAAATTTTAATATCTAGTACTAGCTAATTGATAAGAAGTAAGTAACAGCTTTCTCTGTAATTATCATCCACATAGATCTTTGTGTGTAGAAAGATAAGAATGAAAGCAAGGTTTGACACTGCTCAAAAAAATAAGGACTATTAACCTTCTAAGTACCTAACTGTTCTGGAAGATTGAGAGGAATTTAAGAGAGAGAATTGCATCTGACAATGAAAACTTTCATTCTTGTTGGAGATGCAAGGCACAAACATGGAAATCAGGTGAATAATATAAAACAGCTTGTTATTAAGTAAGTACAAACAGTATGTATTAAAGAAATATAGAGATGGACTAGCATCACCAGGGACTATTTCATGGTGGTGAAAATTAAGCTGAATTCGGAAACATAGGTACGATTTGCAAAAATTAAAAAGCAGTCCAGGCATAAACAAAGGCTTGGAGATACGAATGAGCATGACATATATAATGTAAAAAGACTGGCCTGGTTGGAGCAATTCTACGCACACAGCAAGCACTTAATGTAATCACACGGTAAAGGAAGACCAAATAAAATTCACTTATTCATTAATAACAAATGAAGTGCAAGAAAAAAGGGTTTTATTACATTCAGCATAAGAAGAACCACATACTTATAATGGTAATACCTGTCAGATCTTGCTCACATCTTGAATTAGGGAATGAGGATAGGAAGAAAAGGGAATAAGCATTTATTAAGCACTTATGTGCCAGCCACTGTGCCAAGTGCTTTAAAAATATTATCCCAGCTGATCTTCACAAAAACCATTTGAGATAAGTGCTATTATTATCCCAATTTTGCAATTGGGGGAAATGAAGCAGACAGAGCCTAACTGATTTGCCCAGAGTCACCTAGTTGGTAAATGTCTCAGGTCAATTTTGAACTCAGGTCTTCCTGTTTGAGCCCTTACACCACCTACCTGTGTCAAATGGGGATGGTAACAATTATATTACCTACTTCACAAGGTTATTGTAAAGATCAAATCAGATAATTTTTAAAGCTATAAAGTGCTATACAAATTATGCTATTATAAATGTAGTAAGTATAATTAATTAATATAAGTGTAATTATTATACAATTCTCTTGGGATGGTTCCAACTAAAATGACCACATGCCTTTAGATCCTCTCTCAAATATGAAAATGAAGCCTGGTTAAAAGATGAAGTATTAACAATGAGAAATTTCATGTCTGAGTATATTTAACCTTTATCTCTCCCCCCTCCCCCAAATCTGCCTGATTCTTTGCTTTAAGGAAAGCAAATAATAAATTTTTTTCACATTGGGATTTTGACAGGCTTTCCAATTTTTCCATAATGATTTAAAAAACCCAAGTTTGCTAGACCCTAATCACATTGTAAGTCTAGATTTAGAATGTAGTTCAAAAAAAAGGGAAAAAAATCAAAAAGCCCCATCAACTTCAGCTATTTGATGTATTCAAAATAGCACACATGGTGATATAACAATAGAGTAGCTAATTATCTAAAAATAGCAGTTGTACAAATTTAGCTTAACTGTATTTAGACAATTATTTGAAGATAAAATTAAAGTCATAAATGGCATCTTTGCTCTCTACGCTCATATTTAGGAATTCTTATCAGCCTTAAAAAACATACACCATTATCAGTCTGTTAATCTACCATCCTTGGGATTGCACCTCATAATACTTTGTCCTTTGGCTAGACTTCATTTTCATATTTGAGAGGCCTGTGGCTGTCTTAGAAGGAGTCATCACAAGAAGCCAGAACTTTATGATAAACCATACATATAATACGTAAGCCATTTGTAATTTGCATAAGCATAACATAGAAAGCATTTAGTGCATATTTATCACAATGATTATGCAGGGGTATGTACATAGCTACCCAAACTCCTTCTTCTTCACTCTCCAAAATATCATTTAGACTTTGTATTATGAATATTAAAAACATTTAGGTACATAGTTTTTCAATCTTTCACTGTAATGAATAATAAAATTCACACTAGTCAATAGAAAATCTGTAAAACTGGCACCTGATTTGTATGAAATGCTTCTTTATTTATAACTCACATAACACACATTTCATATCAAAAGTTAGCATTCCAAATTCCGAAGCAACTTCTGAGACTCAAAATTTACTTATGAAATTTATAATCCTGATAATGTTACTACGACCTCTGAAACATATTTTTACCTATTTACCATTAAAGAAACAAATAAATGGCACAAGATGAATTAATAAAAGGCAAGGACTCCATCTAAATTAAATTTCTTATAAATGTTTTAAATTCTCTTTGAATTCAGAAAAATATGCCATGCACTTGATGTAGATGTTGAGACTATTGTTCTCTATGTGCTTAAGTGTAAAGTGTATACTATCAACTATATGCGTACATTTGCTTTATATGTGTTCTATATAAAAGTAGTTTTAAATATGACGGCATTGACATACCTTTAACCCCCTCGCCATGTGCAAAGCAACTTTCAAAATCGTAGCAGCTGGGAAAGGAGAATGGCAGTTGGAATTTCTTTCTTCTATTAAGTCATTGAGAGACTTTTCTCCTCCATATTCCATAGCAAGACACATACTGCCATCATGGGCTTGAGCATATGCACGATAACCTTAAAGAAAGTGATATTTTCTTACCAGAGTAGGGAAAGATAATTAATAGTTCTGCTTTTATGGCAATATATGACTAAACCAATACTGGCAGCTATCTAATAAAGCAAAGATATTTATGCAAATAATTACAAAACTGATTTAGCAATCTAAAGAAGCTTTCTACCACCACTACCCATCCCCCTCGCCAATGACTATCAGTAATACCAATGTAGTAAATCAATACTCTATGATAGAAACTCTGGGAAAAGAATTTTGGTATATTGGATAGAGTATCAAGGCTTGGACTCAAGAAGATCAAATACCGCCTTAGACACTTGCTAGCTCTGTGACTCTGGGTAAGTCATTTAACCTCTATTTGCTTTGGTTCTTCATCTGTAAAATGGGACACACTGGAGAAGAAAACAGCAAACCACTCTAGTGTCCTTGCCAAAGAAACCCCTTGGACTTTTGTCATGTAGAATTGGACACAATTAAACAACAAAAATTTAGCAAATGCATTTGGGAAAACTGGTTTGTAATTTGAAGGGAAATGTATTTAGAAGGAACTTAAAAATTATTGCAAATGGCTATGAAGTCTTGGATAAGAAGCTGAAGAAGGTGCAAAAATCACATCTTCCTCTAAGAATGGAATTTGAATTTCTGTACCACAGATTAAAACACTGAGCTGATAGATTCCTAGCCAAAGATGGAGTCTATCTAAGCAAAGACTGTTAAAATCAATCAATAAATATTTACTGAGTGATTTCTTTGTGTCATTTTGCATGACTAAGTACTGGAATATAAAGAAAAATTTTAAAAAGTCCCTTGCCCTCAAGGAGCTTACATTCTAAAGTGGGAGATAACATATATATGAATAGGTAAATAACAGAAACACACAGAGTGGATGGAAAATAATCATAGAGAAGAAGGCACTAGCAGATGGGGTGGGTGGGGACAATGACCTCCTACATAAGGAGTGTTTAAACTCATCCTTAAAGAAAGTCAGATATTCTGAGAGGAAAATGAGGAGTGAAAGCATTCCAGGGATTGGAAATAAGCACAGAGATAGGAAATGGAGTATATATGTGGGAAGAGCACGACAGTAACAACTGAGTAGAAAGGAATAATGCATAAGAAAGCTAGAAAGGTAGGAAGGGGCCAGGTTGTGAAGGATTTAAAATGCCAAACAAAGGGGTTTATATTTGACTTATACATCTCAGGGACCTTGCAGGGAGTTGGGGTGGAGGAGGGAGGGGAGGAAAGGCACGGTCAGAGTTGTTTTAGGAAAATCAAGTTAACAGCTATGTGGGGAATGGATTAGAGTAGGAGATGATAAAGGCTGGGAGACCAATTAGAAAGCTACTGTAATAGTTCCTGAACTAGAGAGGTAGCTGTTTAAGTGGAAAGGAGGTATATTTTCTCTCTCTCTCTCTCTCTCTCTGTCTCTATCTCTCTGTCTATATATGTATATATGTAAAATACTATGGGGTAGAAATAAAATTTTAAAATTATTTGGACAGAGGAGATAAATGAGCAAGGAGCTCAGGGAAACACCAAGATGGCACACTTGGATGACTGAGTGAATACAGAAGCTCTCAATAGGGATTGGTTCTGGATATACATACTTATATGAGGAATTCAGGAACCATTGAGGGGGAAGCATGATGGGGAATATTTAAGTGAAGGTCAGTAGAGGTGATTCTGTCTTTGGAGTATACTACATATCACCTAGACAAAAAGAAATAGTTGAAGAATTTGGGAAACATTAAAATCCAGGTACAGAGGTATGATATGCTTGTGATGGGAGACTTCAATTATCCAGACATCTACTGGAGCTTTCTACCAAAACAGAAATAAAATACTGGTTTGTCTTAGTGATCAATTCATCTTTTACAAGTATGAAATTTTAAAAGATGGAGGAATGAGTAAAAGAAAATTCTATTTTTGGATCTGATTCACACTAACTGGCTGCTGGGATAACATGATGGGAATGAGATGATGGAAATGATGGGAACCCTGGGGTGACGGGTGGCACAGAAGGTGCTCCACTGCCTTTCAGTTTCTTATACAGAAGAAGATATCTGGGTCAAATCTAACATGCATCCTATAATGAGGAAAGCAGATTTCAAGAGATTCAGAAACATGGGTAAAATCCCATGGACTAAAATGCTATACAGGAAATCAGTCCAAGAAGGATAGGAAATGCTCAAGAACAAAATTCCAATGAAAATGGAAAAATGGGATTTATCTGAAAAGATTGGCGCGGATGCACAGGATTCACCAAACCAATTTAGATTTTAAAAAGAAATGTACAAAGGTGGAGCCAAGGTGGCACAGTAACAGGTAGAAGCATAGTGATCTTCCTCCCAACTCTTCCAAAAAGATCTCGAATACACCACACTGAATATTTACTGGGAAATCCAAGAGAGAAAAAAAAAATAATGAGTCATTTTACTAACCCAGGTCAGCAAAGGGAGATAGAGGTATAGAAACTGGAGATAGGGTCTGACCAGCAGTATCCCAGGCAGAGCATTTTAGGTCAGGGAGAAACACTAGGGTCAAAGAGTGCCAGATTCAGTATACAGAGGCCTAAACTTGAGAAAAAGTGCTAACTAGCAGCTCTGTTGCTCACGTTCCAGTTTCTGGTCATAGATCCACACAGACTGGGGAGGGAACCTGGGACCAGGAGTACCATTCCAGGGTAAGGACTGATCTCTGGCCCTAAGCTGTACCAAGCATGAAGCAAGTTCATAAGCAAATAGTAGCAGTGTGGCTCTGACCCAAGGAGTGGAGTGGAGTCTCTGTGCTAGTTTCCAGCCCAATCTGAAACCTGCAATGAAACCAGGGCAAGAATACAACCCAAAGGGAAGCTGACAGTTCAGTCTTTCTCAACCAGCAGAGTTTTTCAAGCTGGCAGGTAGTGGCTAAGTCTACCACTAAGTCCAGTGGATGGAATTCTAAACAGGACAAGTCCACAGGTATATTGCTCAGACCCAAACCCAGACCAGGAACTTGCAGAACTCAAAGCAGGGTGTATGCAAGTGTGGACAGTTGCTAGACTCTGTCCCCTCAACCAGCTGAAAAGCTCTGTTGGTTGAGAGTAGCAGAATTGTAGGCTCCCCTTTGGTCTAAGATTCCTGTCCTGGTTATTCCTCTGTAAGATGGGCTAGATGCTGGGAATAAGACTCTGCTCTGTGCCTGGGGTCTGAGCCACTCTGCTGCTGCTGGCTTCTGAACTTCCTCCTTTCTCAGTACCCCACCCAGGGCCTTCCTATCCACGAATGTCACTCTGCTTCACTCTAGATCTGTGACCAGGAATTAGGTAGTTGGTGAACAGTTTGTACCTGTCTCCCCTGAGTGCCCTTGTATAGGTCTGATGGAGCTCCAGTCTGGACCCACCTCTTGCACTGCTACACGGTCTCTCCGTGGGTGCTGGAAGGCTCCAAAATGCCATGTGCTCCTGATCCAACTGCCCCCAGTGTTTGCATACCTGTCTGTCTCCCTATGGCAAGCTGGGCTGGACAAATGATCAAATGATTCACTGTGACTTTTTCTGGACGTTTTCATGAGGTTTTGATCTGGTACATTTTCTAAAACTGTTTGGAGTGGTTTGTGGTTTTTTATTTTGTTTTTTGGGGGTTTTTTGCTAGGCAATGGGGTTAAGTGATTTGCCCAGGGTCACACAGCTAGTGTCAAGTGTCTGAGGCTGGATTTGAATTCAAGTCCTCCTGACTCCACAGCCAGTGCTCTATCCACTGTGCCACCCAGCTGCACCCTAGAGTGGTTTGTGGAAAGAAGCTCACTGCTTTTTATCACTCTGCCTCCATCAAAGACCTTTTAAAATTAACAGCAGCATGCACATTCACTGTGACCAAAGTTTCTTATCCTATTCACAGTCTAATATGGGGACATATGTGTCTCCTCTGAGACACCTCTGAGAATTCCTATCATTAGAGGTTACAGAGGGAGTTAGAGAGCTCTCTGTCTTCTTGAGCTGCCTTGGCTGGAAAAATTACTGTGACTTTTCTTGGCTTTTCTGATCCGAATTCAATTTGACATATTTTCTAGGTTGTCGGGGTGTGTGTGTGTGTGTGTGGATAGCTAGGCTGGGTCTCACTTGGCCATCCTGACTAACTCAAGCAAGTCAATTAGACAGAGGGCCTGTGAGTGGTTCTATTATATCTTGATGATCTTAAAACAAGAATGGAAAGATTAAGACAAGGGGTGGGGAGTAGGAGGAAGGAAGGTTAGGGAAAAGTTTTATCATATAATCAAAGTATACAAGTATACGTTTATACCAACAGGGAAGAACTGAATTAGTCAAAGAAGGGAGGAATATATATACACACAGTTAGGTACAAAATACATTTCACTAATAAGAGAAATAGGGAGAAAGGCAATAAGGGATGGATAGTCAAGAATAAAAGGAAAGGTAGATTAAGGGAAGGACTGGTCCTAAGCAAAACAAATTCTAAGCATGTACAGAATATTTATAGCCACTCTTTTTATGGTGGCAAAGAATTAGAAATTAAAGGAGTGTCCATCAATCAGGGAATGGCTGAAAATTTATGGTATATAAATGTGATGGCATATACTATTATGCTGTAAGAAATGATGAAGAGAGTAGTTTCAGAGAAACTTAGGAAGACTTTTATGAACTGATGCAGAGTGAGGTGAGCAGAATCAAGAGGACAAGTTTATATGATGACAATATTGCAAAGACAAACAACTTTGAAAGGTTTAAGAACTTTGATCGACGTAATGACCAACCAGAATCTCAGAGGACTAACAATGACACCTGCTACCCACTTTCTGATAAAAAGCAGAATAAGACATATATGACCAATAAGGAAATTTGTTTGGCTTGAGGTTTTTTTTTTCCCTATCTCAATTTGGGGTTGGGAGGCGGAAGGATGGGAAGAGGGAGCAGATTTTTGAGGCTAAAAAATAAAATTTAATTTTTAAGCAACAAATGATGAATATAAGAGCGTGGAATGGTCCTCTAAAAACAATGTTAGCAGTGTTAAAGCTCAAATAAACCAAAGCTGTCGAGGGAAGCCAAGGACAACCAAAAAAAATTTGTTGGTTTTTTTTAAAGCAAAACAGAGAAAAAGAGGATCAAAGAAGGGATGAGAACCTGAAAGTAGTGATAAATGAATGGATAATAGCTGCTTGATTCTTCTTTTGCTTCTGTTTTCTCTGCCAAGGACAATGACTTTTGCATGGGAAACGTCAGAACAAAAATGACTAATATGGAAAATTTTAGAATGGACATATTAGAGATGGTTGGTGAACATATGGGAAGGTAATAAGTGACCGCAAACAAATCAATGAAGGTTTAAAAGCAGTAATACCAGTCTAACCTCATTTCCTGTTTTCAAGAAGATTACTAAATAGATGGGGGAAATGCAGTGGAATATAGTTTGCTTAGATTTCAGCAAAGCTTTTGATCAAGTAGCTGAAGTTATTCTTATGAAGATGGAGAGCATATGGATTAGATAATGCAAACAGGTAAGATTCAGGACTAACTGGCCAGTTGTTCTCAAACAGCAATTTTTAATGGTTTAATAGTAATACAGGGCTCCGGTGGACTACCCCAGGAATCTGTGTTTAATCTAGCCCTATTTAACCTTCTTACTAATTACTTTATAAAGGCATAAAACGTATGCTCATCAAATCTGCAAATGACATAAAGCTGGGAGGGATAGCTAGCACATTAGATGTATGACAGTATCAGGATCCAAAAGGATCTTCACAGGCTAAAGGCCTAAGTTAAATCTAATACGGTAAAAAAAAATCAATAATGATAAATTTCAAGCCTTACATTTGTGTCAAAAAAAACCCAACCCCAAAACAAAAACTCCACAAGCACAAGATCAGGGAGGTATGGTTAGGTAATGTTCTGAAAAAGACAGGGGCTGGGATGGGGGGTGGGGAGGCAGGTTAGTGAACTGCAAGCTCAATATAAATGACATGGAAGCCCCAAAAGCTAATGTGACCTTGGCCTTCATTAGAAGATGTGACAGACTTTTTCTATTTAGCCCCACTGGGAAGAACCAGGAGCAGTGGGTAGAAGTTGCAAGGAAGCAAATTTATGCTTGATATCAGGAAAAATTTCTTAGCAAGTAGAACTGTCTTCAGAGGTGGTTTGTCTTCAAGAAGAGAATGAACAACCACCTGTTGGACATGTTCTATCTCCTCTTATATGTGTGACAGAGTAAATGATGGCAGAAGTCCCTTCTAATTCTCACATTTTATAACTGTATGATAATTGAATTTACATAGTAACTATCTCCTCCCAAACCCTGGCAAAATTTACCTGTGAAGACAGATCAGAGCATAATATAATTACTTTAACTAATTCCACTCGGGTTACCACATCAAAATATCAGCAAGTTTACTGCAAGGGATATTCCCAAAAGGACTGTCGAAACCCAGGGTTCAAAATCCATGTACCCTTAAGGGAAGAAAAAAATTTCATCTTTATTTTTACTAACCTTTAAATGAAATCTGACATTTCATTCAGTTAAGGATGTAGGCAACATTATTCTGAAATGGTACATTAGCTTCCCCAGACAGCTAAAGGTTAAGAACCCCTGGTTTAAACAGTGTGTAGCTAAGCAGAATAAAATTCTATTATATACTTCTTATAAATTAAAACTTCTTTAAGCTTACCTACAATGTTTGGATGCTGAAGGTTTTTCAAAATCTTAGCTTCATCAGTTAGTCTCTTTTGATATATACTTTGAAAATGATCATTACATTTAGAATTAATCTTTTTCACTGCCCAGGGAGAATGAGATAAACCTTTGGGAGACCTAAAACAGCAAACATTATATGAAATATAATATGGAGAAAATATGAAATATAATATAAAAAAATATGGAGAAACTTGAGCACAGGCTATGATAAAGTACTAAAAATAAATGACCCACCAAAATGTTCAGCTTTAAAATGAAGAATTAAAGTGATTTCAATGTTTAAACAACTTTTTGTAGATGTCCATCAGTTGTGAAATGGCTTGACAAGTTGAAGCACATGAATGTAACAGAAAATTACTATGCTAAGAAAAAGGAAGAATAAGATAAATAGGAAGATTTATAGGAAGAGATGAAAAATGAAACAAACAAAAACAGAACAATATACTATGGCTACAATATAAATGGAAAGAACAAAATAATCAAAACTGAATGCTATGAAATTATAGCGACCTAGTACAGTCTTAAATGAGAGAGATGAGGATCTATTCTTTGCAGGAGGAAAGCTATGAGTGTGTAATACTGAGTTATTTCAGATTTTTTTTGATGTGTTGGTCAATTTTGCTAAACTGGTTTTTTGCTTTTTGATAAGAGATGGCCCTATGGGAGGGAGATAAGAGATATATTGAGAAATGTCAATGATATAAAAACAAAAGATATCAATTTAAAGAAAAATACTTTTCACTATCAGGATTTCAAATGTTTCCTTTTCTGCTGTGAGAAGTATTTTCACAACCTAAAATGCGTATCAAAAATTAAGATGAGAATGCTTGTATCCTCAATCCCAAGAATAGAGGTGTGCGATAGGACTGGAAAAACAGAAAGAGAAAATACTGGTAGTAGAGTTTCTTAATTTTCTACCTCCCAGGTTAGTAGGTCAGCCACCCTACTCACGACAGCTTAGTACCCTACTACTTATAGACCTAACAAATGATTGAGAATGGCTCAGTAATTTACTTCTCTAATAAATTCCCTGCTTCCACCCTCCCCCCGAAAAAAGCAGACTGGACCCAGAGTTCTATTCAAAATGTTTATTTGTATTCCTTACCTTTTCATAAGGTAAACATTTACCCCAGTGCCATAGCCAAGCTTTTGCATAAATGGAGAGGCTGGAATAGCTACAGATGAGGGAGTTAAGCATGATGCTAAAAATAAAAGAATAAAGACAAATTAATATTTGAAGAAGACTTTTACAAATGTATCATGTTGACCTATTATTGACAACAATATTTTGTGTAAACTTCAAACAATGAACACAGAAAATTATTAGCAAGAACACAATTCAGAGATATGGTAATGCATGCTGGTCTGTGTCCTAAAGGAACTTGGCTCCTAGGGCCAAGACTGTGGTAGTTCACAGAACTCTTGCCTTCAGGGGGGAATTCTGTCTTCCCTAAAGACTGATTGCCTTTCCCTTGAAAAGAGCTGACATAGCCTCTGGGTTCCAGAAAAAATATGGCAGAGCTTCCATTTAAGGATACGCCCAATGGGAATATCTTGCCAGTGGACCCAGATGGTTGCAGAGGAGAAAGTGAGGCTGGTGACTTTGCACATGCCTCTCTCACTTAAATCCAATTCACTTGCATGTCATGGCATCACCTTCCTGAAGTCATGGTCCTCTTCAAGAATGGAAAAACAGCAGCACCAGCAGCAACCTACCACCCACATCCTAGGGAAAACTTGCCTAAAGGCCAAGCTTTCATCTAGTACTTAGCTCCACTCAGGACTCAATTCCATTGTGAATTAAATTCAATTGCACCCTTGTAGAGTCTACCTTTTCAACCTTACCCCCTACCCACTTAACTCAAATTCAAGCTGATTCAATCAAAGCAGGTGCAGACTACACCCAGGTCTGCAGGCTAATTCTGTCACCTGAGAATTACTCCAAACTTCAGGAGAGAAAGTAATAGGGAGCAGCTGAAATGATTCTTAACCTACCTCTTCATTAAAATGTCTACCAAATAGGATTGTTATGATGTAACGTTAGGCCAATCAGAAGAAGCCACACATATTACTGGAGATTTTGTGGTCAACTTACTAATTGTTATAAAAGACCCCATCAGTCCTGGGTACTGCCAGTCCCCTGTCTACACAGTTTTCTCCCACACTAGGCAATCAGCTCTTCTATCCTATTCCACAAGTATTAACTAATTCCCTCCTCCCCTTCCCCCTCTTCCTATTCCTTCCTAAGATTTTGCTGCTTACACTGCTGGCCCCTGAATCTTGTCTACATCTACCACTGGCCTCTGGTAGTGGTATCAACATGTCACTAATAAGCACCCTGTAATGACTCTTGTAGTTGTCCCTTCCTGTCAGAATCCAACTGAACCTCTTAGATGGGTAAAAGCTGAGCCTGGACCACTAGTACTTCCCTTTAGTTCATGAGCTCTGACCAAAGGTCAGAGACTACGTTTCCTAGCAGCCACTCCTCCATGGACAGGATGGAATAGGCAGCCTTGCTGATATCCTCCCTCTTCTCTGGAGAAAGCGAAGGCAAGAGCACTGAACCACATCCTTCAGTGGTGGGGAATTCCTCTTTTCTCCTCCCTATGTCTATAAATTGCTGAGAGTAGGACCCTCAGCATCTTCACATGCAGGACTCTCTGCCTTCACTGGGGACAGAAAGGGCTAGAATTTCAAAATGTGTTTCAGTGACAGGGAACTTCTTTCTTTCACTGACAAGGGCTGGAACCAAGATCTCTGGCAGCTGTATCTTCACTGGCAGGACACTCTGACCTCTGACTACACCAAAGAAACCAAGAGCTGAGGGTCTAGCCACAGGGCTAGGATTAGGACTCTTGGGTCCAACAGTGGAAGGAAATTCTTTTCCTGTTGTGGTTGAGGCAAGGCTTGTATCCTCTATCAGTACAACTTCTTTCACCACTGTAAAAGTATTTGGTCACCTCCTTTTGTCTCTGGCTCTTGAACACAGAATGTCTTCTTATTCTGATAACTGTTCCAGATGCTTGGCAGATATTCCCCCCAGAAATTCCTTTCCATGCCTTGAATGATTCCTCCTTTCTTCACTCCTCCTTCTCTTATGAAGTGTTTCTTATTTATCCTAAGTTGCCTAAGAATGCTGCTGATTGGCTGTGTACTTACTCTAAGCAAGTCTAAAAAGTTATAAAAACTAAATCTGTACTCTAGGATGTCAAAGCTTCTATCAGCAGCTTCCTCAGCTAATACTAATGCTAATATATTTTTATGCTTTCAGTTTGGCCTCCTATCTTTGACCCACAGTCATTAGGTGGGTATGCCCCTCCCAAGAGGTCCCATTCCACTCAGATCCAGAGAATTCTCCAACACTGTGTTCAAGGAAGGAAACTGACAAGCTACAGAAATGCAAACAGGATGGTGAAGGGCTTTGGCCTTGAGATCTTGTAATATTGGTTGAAGAAGTGGTGAGATCTAGCCTGGAGCAAGGAAGATTGTGGGGGTGGGAAGACATAAGTTTTCCTTAGAGATCTGAAGGGCTGTCACAGGGAAGAGAACAGACTTATTCTGACCTCTAGGGCCGAGCAGAACTAGGAACAACGGACAGGCGTTTCAAAGAACTAAATTTAGGCTGAGATGTAAAGAAGAATTTTCTACTAATTGGGGCTATCCGAAAATGGATTGAGCTTTCTCAGGAGCTCGAAGACACATGAAGTCTCCTCCCTCCCAGCATTCCTATAGCATGTAAGTTCCTTGAGGTTAAAAACTATACGATTTTTGTCTCTGAATTCCCAACACCTGGCATAGTGTAAGCCCTTAATACTTGACTGATTAAAAAAGAAGTCACCTGTCCTTGTGAGTTTTCTTAGGACTTTTGTCTCTTCTACATTTTTCACATTCTGTTCTGTACTACAGCTTAGTTATGTTCAGTACAGTTGTTACTTTCCTAAACTGCAAGGTCTTTGAGGTAGGGACTATGTCTAATTTCTGTAACTTCTCCCAGTATCTACTACACAGAATGTTAACATATGTTAATACACATTAACAGGGACTTATTAATTCATTCATCAGTTACTAGTGGAAGGGGGTTTAGAGATGCCCCGTGCAAACCACCCCCCTCACAGTTGGGAGTACCCCCTCCTTACTGTTGATTTTGTATTTATTTATACATATGCATGTTGTCCCTGGAGTGGGCAGGGAATGTCATTTTGGCCCCTGTATCCTAAATACTTAGCAAAGTGCCTGGCACATAGGCCCTCGCTTGCTATGATTAAACTTACAAGACTTCTTCTTGTCAGATAACTTGCTAGGTGTCTTGAATGCATTTGGTCCTTCCATTATTAAAAACAAAACAAAAAAAACAACCAATAGCAGCAAACCCTAGGTTCTATAATAGAAAAAAAAACATGGTTACATTAATTCACATGGAAAATGCTTCTCATTAATACAGAATTATATAATTTTAGCACTGGAAGGGCCTCAAAGATCATCTGGTTTAGTCACATAGCTTTATAGGTAAGGCAACTGAGGCCCAGAGAAGTAAATAACTGGCCTAAGATCACCCAGCTAGTTAGTGGCAGTTCTGGAAATAGAACCCAGGTAGCCTGATATGCAGCCTAGTACTTATTCCACTACACTGTGCTTAAAAGACAAAAGTATACAAGCACAGCAAGGTCCTATAGCTCCTCTTTCACACCACAATGTACTTTCACTAGCTACCCTAAAGGAGCAGCAGAGTGCCACCTGTACCCAAACCCAGGCCCAGTCACTGACCACAGCCCTCTGATTGCCTTCCCTGAAAAACCTTTTCCCTCTCCATCTACCTCTCAAGTTAAGGAATAAACCTAGATCAGTCCCAATTCTCTCTGCACTGCCTTCTAGAGTTTGAGAGTTTCTCTTTCCATCTGCAATCTATTACCCTTTCCACACACCTCACTTCCCACCTCCCACGGTTTCTCTTGTTTCTCTTCTCTAACCTTGTAAAAATTAATGAACCATCATTTGAGAAAAACTGTCCCCTGCTCACTCCTTATGTTCTGTCATCCACTGCTCCCTCAACCTGACCCCAAATTCAATCCTGCCTACTCTTTCCCTTTCCACAATGAACAAAAATCCCCTTTTATCCTGGACTTCTTTATTTCACTTTTATTATCTATTAGCCCTCACTGGGACCTGGCTCCTCTCTGATGACATAGCACCCCCTGGCTATACTTTTTTCTCAACTCTATTCCCCACCCCCTAACACCAATGGATTCCACTCAATAAAAATTATGGTAGTTATAGTACACTGATTCCCCAGGTCATTTCCCTTTCTTTCTCAAAGAGTTCAGCACCTTTTCCCCTTGTGCGTTAAAAAAAAAAAAGTTCTTTGTCAATTCATTGCAGCTTGGTCCTTGGAGGCATTCTTTTCATTTAGTGAAGCAATTCAACTTTACACCGTCCTTTTCTCTTGCCATCTTTTTCTAATGCAGATTGTGCTCAGCCAAGCTTCAGATTTCTATTACTCTGCCAGTCTTCTCCTTCTTTGCTCCAACACTGCCACCACAGGTATACACCCTCATCACTTCATGCCAGAGCTACTGAAGTAGCCTTCTGATTGGTCTCTCTCCCTTACATTTCTCCCCCTCCAGTCTATCCCCCACTCAGTTGTCAAACTGATCTTCCTTTTTTTTTTTTTTTGGCTAGGCAATGGGGTTAAGTGACTTGCCCAGTGTCACACAGCTAGTAAGTGTTTGATCTGAGGCCAGATTTGAACTCTGGTCCTCCTGCCTTCAGGGCCGGTGCATTTTCATTGACTGTTCCCCATGTCTGGGACTCTCTTTCTCCTAATCTTTGCTTCCTGGCTTTCTTTGAGTCTCAGCTCAAGTCCTACCTTCTGCAAGAAATCTTTCCCAGTGCTTAATCTTAGTGCCTTCCCTCTGGGATTATCTCCAATTTATCCAGTACATATCATCTGTACGTAGTTATTTGCATGTTATCTTCCCCACTAAATCATGAGATCCTTAAGAGCAGGTACTGTTTTCTGGCCTTTCTTTGTATCTTCCATGACTTAGCACACTGGCCTTGAGGCCACACATGGCTTTCTAGGTCCTTGGATGTGGCCTTTTGACTGAGTCCAAATTTTACAGAACAATTCTTTTATTAAGGGCATTTGTTCTGTGAAGTTTGGATTCAGTCAAAGGGCCACATGTAGCCTTGAGGCCTAAGGTTCCCCATCCCTTAAGCACACAGTAAGTATTTAATAAATGCTTGCTGACTTGCTTGCTCCTTAAGTTCCTCTGCAGTATCTTCATCCAGGTCACGCCCACTAACCATGGGTTTCCTCCAATGCCCTCTCCTTTTCTCTCTCTACTATATTGCTCAGTGATCTCATTAGCACCCATAGATTCAGTGATGATCTCTGTACAAACCGATTCTCATATCTATTTGTCCAGTCCTAACTAACCTCCAGTGTCCCATCACCAGCTACCTATTGGACACCTAGAAATTGATATCTTGTAGACTCTTTAAATTAAACATGTCCAAAACCGTTCTTTTTCTTTTCTGCCCACAAACCTTCTTCTGAACTTCCCTATTTCTGTGGAAGGTGCCACCATCCTCCAGTCACCCAAACTTACAACTTTGGTGTCATCCTTGACTTCCCCCACACACTCGCTCCACTTAGCCAATTTGCTGCCACATTTAACAACTTTTACATACATCCTCTTTTCTCTACTCACACAGCTGCCATGATAGTACAGGTCCCCATCACCTTACACTTGGACTACTGCAACAACTTTCTGGTTGGTTTCCCTGCTTCAAGTCTTTCCCCACTACAATTTATCTACCACAGAGCTGCCTAAGTGATCTTTCTAAAGAAGTCTGACCAATGCTGTCATCACCACCTCCCACCTACACTCAATAAACATAGTATATACTTACTAAATGTTTACTGGCTGACTATATCTAGAATCAAATACACAATCTTTTTTTCATTGAAAGTCCTTCATAATTTGGTCCCAAACCATCTTTTTAGTTTTATTATACTTTACTCTCTTTCATACACACTATAGTAAAGCTGAACTAGTCTTCCTCTTGATCTTCACAAACTATTGCTTTATCTCCCATCCCTGTGCCTTTGCATTGGTCATTTCCCATGCCTGGAGCTAGTTTCCTTCAAGGTTCAGCTGAAGTGTTACTTTCTTCACTAGACTTTGCCCTTATTACCCTCAGCTGCAATTACCTTACACCCAAATTATCTTGATTTTGTACATACACACATATAAGTTCTTTAAATGAAGGCATCTTTTTACTTTTGACTTTCATCTACAATTCCTAGCATTGCCCAGCGCATAGTAGGCCCTTGGCAAATGTTTGTTGATCAATTCAGCATCCCAGTGTTTCCTCAGATCAAAAGTGCCTTCCCTAGATAGCAGTATGTATTCTCTCCCCCAGCTCCTACACAGCAGGTACTTACTACCTCAGTGCACTTTAACACCATGAACAGGCCCTCCATGGGCCTTTTCTTCCACTAAGCTTTTCCTGGAAATTCCATTTTGAGGAAGGGCCCAGTCATTATTCTAAGGACTCTGCTACCATGTCCTTGTTCTGCCACCTCCTCTCCCCATTCAACTTGTTAGCTCCCTCCCTATGTGTTGTCTTCCCTCATTAGAATGTTAGCATTTTGAGGGCAGGAACTGTTTGTTTTTGTTTTGTTTTTTTTTTGGCTTGTTATTTGTACCCTTGAGGCTTAATACAGTGCTTGGCACATACTAAGTGCTTAATAAAAGCCCCAGAATTTAAGAATACCTTGAAGGACCAAGCTGCAGGCAACTGATAAAGTACATTTTTTTTAAATACACAAGGGGAAAGAAAAAGTAGAGATAGGATGAAATATTTTATTTGGATTAAAATTATAATAAATTTTTTGCCTCAGTTATCATGCCTGGTTCTTCTAGTGTTTTAATAAATTCTCATTGACTGACTTTGTACTCAATAGAGCTTAGTACAGCACCTGGCACACAGTAAGCCCTTAATAAATGTTCATTCCACAGGCAGATTCTAAAGAAGATTTATGAGGACACAAGCTATATGACAGGGTGGTGGGCAGAGAGGAACAGCCTAGGAGTCTGGAACTTCTTTAAGGCTATAAAGCCCTATTGATCTGCATCAGTGAATGGAGTAAGATTACACTGGTGAAATCACGTTTCCCAACCTCCTGGAGTGCTAGAGACTCATCTGTTTCCTACAAAGGGAATATAATGTTTTCTCTCTTCTATATCTGTTTACTGTGTTTCTCTACATTTCTGATGCTTTCTCTCTATTTCTTTTTCTGTTTCCATCTCTATAGTTGTTTCTGTCTCTTTCTATACTTGTATTTATCTCTATTTCTATTTCTCTCTATTTGTTTCTCTCTTTGTGTCTCTCTGCATGTTTCTCTGTGTCTCTGTTTCTTTTTCTTTCTCTTTTTCGGTCTCTATTTGTTTCTCTATCTCTCTACATTTCTCTCTATCTCTCTCACTCCAACCTAAAACCACACAGGAAAGGAGGAAAGAAAAAAGCAGAAGGAAAAAGAAAGACTCCCCTGGTCCAGCCCCCAGGGAACAAGATTCCCCTGTCTCTACAATAGTGCTTCTCGATCTTTTTGGTCTCAGCACCCCTTCACACTCTCAGAACCCCTTACACTCTCAGGACCCCTTCACACTCTCAGGACCCCTTACACTCTCAGGACCTCTTCACACTCTCAGGACCCCTTCACACTCTCAGGACCCCTTACACCCTTAGGACCCCTTTACCCTCTCAGGACCCCTTTACACTCTTAGGACCCCAAGAGCTTGGGGGAAGATCACATCTATGAATGTTTACCTTTGTCAGAAATGAAAACTTCTGAATTTTAAAAGCATATATTCATTTAAAGTCACAGTAATCAACTCATTACGTGTTCACAAACTGCACCTTGGTCTCGGGTGACCCTAGAGTCACCGGGGCTCCTGAGGCCTCGGTTTCTTCACTACAAAGACGCCGGACTGGAAGCCAGAGGCCCTGAGTTCGAATCCCAGCTCCGCCGGACTAGCGCGGTGACCGCCTGGCTGCAGTTTCCACAGAACGAAGGGAAGGTGGCTGGGACCCCACGACCTCCTGACCTCCCCGAGGGTGGGAGGGGTCCGGGGGAGACAAGCAACCCCCGCCGACCCTCGTCCCCTAGCTCCCGGCCTTACCTGAGCAGGCACCGAGCAGCCGCAGCGCCCGTAGCCGCCTCTGCTGCCGCCGCAGACTCGACTGAGGCCGTTGAGATTCGAACGCCCGCGGCCTTCCAACCCGCGCGCTCCACTCTACGGGGCGGACCGAGGGACACGCCGGATGAGAACGCGTTCCCTCGATTCCTCACTGCCTGTCTCACCTGCTTCTTCCCTCCCCCATTTATTATTATCCATTATTGTTTTGGAGTTATCATTCCTACACATAGAACTTATATATTATCTATTATATACTGCCAACCTATCTACCAATCTATCTATAGATCTAGCTCTATCATCTCTCTCCCCAGATCTATCTGGCTGTCTTCTCCCCTCGTCTGCTTACCTTCCTGGCTTCCTTTAAATACCAACTAAAATCCCACCTTCCTCAGGAAGCCTTCCCTAACCCTTCATAATTGTAGTGCCTTCCTTCTATTAATTATTTCTCATTTATCCTGTACACACCTTGCTTTCATTTGCATTATTGTATTTGCATGTTGTCTTCTCCATTAGATTGTAAGCTTCTTGAGGGCAGAAACTCTTTTGTCTCTTTTTGCATCCTCGGAGCTTAGCACAGTGACTGGCATTGTAGGTGCTTCATAAAAGCTTATTGATTAAGATTGATTGCTGGACCTACTCATCCGTTTGTATCTGCCTAAGGTTCATTCTGCTACTTATCATCTCTCATCCATTTATCTATATGTGTATTTATTTGTCTACCTATGTACCTATAGTCACCTAAAGAGCATTCTGTTATCTATAATCTATGATCCCTTTATTTATCAATCTACCTGTCTGTCTGTATCTATCTACAGTATCTATCTATCTTACATCTACCTATCCATAAATTATCTAGCATTCCATGTTGTCATCTACATATATAGTAATCTGTTTTCTCTGGAGATGTGTGTGTGTGTGTGTGTGTGTGTGTATAATTATCTACTTATCATCTCTCCATCATCGCTTTTTGTCTCTATTTCCCTTATCAACCTACCTATCCATCATCTATCTGTCCATTTATCTTCTTTTTCAAAATTTTATTTAGTATCACCCTTTATTGAATCAACCAAGGTAATTTAGCAATATGAATTGAACTCTTAAAACTCCCATCTCCCCAAAGGACTATAAAATTGTGCACATTCTTTGACCCAGCAATACTGCTACTGGATCTGTATCCCAAAGAAAAGGGAAAAGGACCTATATGTACAAAAAATATTTGTGGTGGCTGTTTTTGTGGTGGCAAAGAATTGGAAATTGAGGGGATGCCCTTCAATTGGGAAATGGCTGAACAAGTTGTTGTATGTGATTATGATGGAATACTCTTGTGGTGTGAAGGGGCTGATTTCAGAAAAACCTGGAAAGCCTTATGTGAACTGATGCAAAGTGAAGTGAGCACAACCACGAGAACATCTTACCCAATAATAGCAATATTGTAATGATGATCAGGTATGAAAGACTCAGCTACTCTGAACAAGACAATGATCCAAGACAGTTCCAAAAGACCCATGATGAAAAATGCTATTCACCTCCAGAGAGAGAACTGATGGACTCTGAGTGCAAAAGGAAGCATACTTTTTTCACTTTTAAAATTTTTCTTATTTTTGTGTATGTTTTTTTTTCTTTTGCAACATGGCTAATATGGAAATACATTTTGTATGACTTCACATATATAATTGATATCATATTGCTTGCCTTCTAAATGGGTGAGGGAGTGGCAAAAGGAGGGGGAATTTGAAACTCAAAATCTTGAAAAAAAGAATGTCAAAAATGTTTAATGTCTTTGGGAAATATTCAGTGAAACAAAAATGTGTTAAAAAAAAGCACACACACACAACTCCTACCTCCTCAGTTTTCTGACCGTAGGGCCTTTCATTCCCTCCAATTTGAGAAAGTGGAGGGTAGGCAATAAAGAGTTCCTTCCATATCTTCTATGATTTAAGGAGGGCATCCCAGAATTCACCTCATTCTACTCTGATCCTTTTGTGGATTTTATGATCTCCAGAAACTCGACTTTCTGCAAGATGAAATCAACACTGAAACTCTCACCTCCTCAGATCATTTCTTCTGGGGCTTTATCCCTGCCCCCTTTCAGCTTCTTTTTTTTTTTTTTATGTATAGTCTTCCCCTATTAGACTGTGAGCTCCTCAAGGGCTAAGGATTGTCTTTTGCCTTTCTTTACATCTTCAGTACTTAGCACAGGTGCATAATATATGTTTATTGGCTTTCTTTGACTGATAATGAATGGGAAGGAAGAAAGAAAGGAAAATTACATATAAAAATAAACTTCAATTCCAGGATATAATTTTGAGTTGTAAACTTGTATTGCTACAATTCTGGAAGGGAGCTTAGTAGGTGCCTAGTTCAACTCTCCTCATTTTATAGTTGATAAAATTTAGGAGTTTAGAGAAGTTAAGTGATTTACCCAGGGTAAGATTACCCAAACTGTTTCCCTTTTGGAAAACTGTAAGCAGCCCCAGGTAATTAGCATAATCCTAGTTATCCTAGAGGAAAGGAAAGAGTAGGAATGCCTTCCCAAGCCTCTGAAAGGACCCATTAGGACATGTAATCCTCTCTCCTCCCGGTAAACAAGAGGTAAATGGCTGGGACTCATCCTGAACTGACTTGAGATGGGTAGGGAACCACCAGCGTAATCCAAGAAAAGGATGTTTCTGAAATTACTTGAGAACACCCTTTGTGGGAAGAGTGGGGCTATAGGAGGCATTCTGGTCCCCAGAATAGAAAACAATTGCCATGTAGTCAGAATTACACTCCATATAATCCCTTCACAAGAAACAGTTTCTGGAGGAGAGGTAGGAAACAGGAACAGAGAATAGAAAGAAGACCAAAGAAGGAGCAACGCAGCCCACAAGTGGAGCAAATCACCAGAGGATAGCTGCCATTAAAAGATTAGCACAGCGGCAAAGCACTGAAATAGAGCAGGGAACCTCAGGTCCTTTCCCCTTGGTGGCTTCTGATTCAGGGTAGTACTATAAGTCACAGACACTGTACAGATTCCTGGGGGGATGCCCAGTAGAGAGAGTATCCAGGACTAGAGGGCAATTGACTATGTCAAAAGTTTCCAACAGGTAAAACAACATGAAGACTGAAAAAAGGCTATTGGCTTTTAAGAGCTAACTGCCCTTAAGTAGTTAAGAGATCAATGGTAAAGGACTAAAAATTAATTGGAGACAAAATAATTCAGTGCGAACAAACTGGTGGGTCAAAGAACAAATAAAAACAATAGAAAATTTCATCAAAGAAAACGACAGCAATGAAACAACATGTGAAAATTTTAATAATACAGCTAAAGCAATCCTTAGGGGAGAATTTACTACTCTAAATACTTTCATCTACAAAAGAGAAAGGGAACAAATCAGCAAACTGGGACTGTAATTAAAAATGTTTGTAAAGTAACAAATTTTTAAAAGCTGCAAATAAACACTAAATTAGAAATTCTGAAAATTGTAGCAGAGATTAACGGAATTTGAAACAAAAGTCTCATTGCATTGATAAAGAAAACTAAGAGCTTTTTAAAACATAATAAAACAAAGTTAGCTTGTCTGACCCTAATTTTGGATGCCTACAAATCAAATCATAGGCATCAAAAATAAAAAAGAGAATTCACAACAATGATGACATAAACAAAAACATAAGAAAAATTTTTGTCCAATCATATGCTCAAAATACAAAAACTGAGATGAAAAATTATAAAAAAATATTAAATATCCAGATTAGTAGAAAAAGAAATTGATTATTGATATTATCCAATGTCAGAAAAAAGAAACCGAACACGACATACATGAATTATTCAAAGAAAAAAAATAAAACAGATTTTACAAGCAAGTTCTTTTAAATATTCAAAGAACAATTAATTCAAATATTACACAAACTATTTGAAAAAAATAGGGGGGAAAGAGAATCCTACAAGCTCCTATAATACAAATAAGGTCTTTGGACTTAACCCAGGTGAGACAAGTCAGAGAAGGAAAACTATAAACCAACATCCCTGATGACATTAACTCAAAATTATTCAATAAAACATTAGCAAAGAAGCTAGTATAAGAGTTTTTTTTTTTAAAGGCAATCAGGGTTAAGTGACTTGCCCAGGGTTACACAGCTAGTAAGTGTGTTAAGTGTTTAGTCTGAGGCTGGATTTGAACTCAGGTCCTCCTGACTTTAGGGCTGGTGCTCTATCCACTGCACCACCTAGCTGCCCTGGCAGTATAAGATTTAAAAGGTTATACACTATTACTAGGTCGTGTTTATATTAAGAATTCAGGTGGTTGTTGTTTAGTCATTTCAGTTATGTCCAACTCTTTGTGACCCCGTTTGGGTTGTTGTTGTTGTTGTTTTGGCAAAGAGACTGGAGTAGGTTGCCATTTCCTTTTCCAGCTCATTTTACAGATGGGGAAACTGAGGCAAATAGGGTCAAGTAACTTGCCTAGGGTCACACAGTTAGTCAGTGTCTGAGGCCAGATTTGAACTCAGGAAGATGAGTCTTCCTGACTCCAGGTCTGCACTCTATACACTGTGCCACCTAGCTTGCCCCAAGAATTCAGGACTGGTTGACTATAAGAAAAAATATATATATTCAATAGACCAGATTGCAAACATTTACATAGCACTTTAAGGTTTGCAAAGTATTTTACATTTATTTTCTTACTTGAGCCTCACAATAATGAGCTAGGTGCTATTATTATCCATATTTTACAAATGAGGAAATTGAGGTACAGAATAGTTAAGTGACTTGTCCAGGGTCACAGAGCTAGTAAGTGTCTAAGGGAGATTCAAACTCAGGTCTTCCCAGCTCCAAGTCTGGCACTCTATCCCTATGCCATCGAATTATCAGATGAATGATTTGGGTAGCAGAGTAAGTGATTTTTTAAAAAGTGAAGGCAAGGATTCTAGATGGGTTTTTCAATTAAACGAATATTTGTAAAGTGTCTAAGTGTGTGCCAGGCATTATGCTA